CGTCGCTTCGTGCCCTGCGTATGTCTCCTTCGACCATGGCGACCTCCGTCCACGAGCACTCCGCTGCCACGACCTCAAGATCTCCACGAACCGCGCTGCCTACAACAGCAGGCACGAACCAGCGCTGGCCTTTGCCGCGTCCTCCTCTACGAGAACCCTCGCCATTTGGTATGTGCTCTCGAACAACCAAAGACTCATGGAATTAGATAATCAGTACAATCGCTACGAAATAGAAATTCCAGGCGTGGAATGACTCAATCATGTCAGGATTAGTTAGCATCCTTGGTGATATCAGTACGTGCAGTGGATTTTAGTAGATTTATTCCAGAAAATGTATCCATGGAATGGTATTGTCTCATTTTTCTTTTCGTTCAGCGACCAAGATTAGAATGGATTTTTCAAGGTGCTAGAAACATGTCTCTTTTAGGATTGCTACTCGCCTGCTCCTGGTCCTACCGTTCACCCAATGAGGCCTCCCAGTCCTCTCCAAGAAGGTGACCTTCTTATCTGATAGGTATTGTAGCATTATTATTAGGCCAAACATTCATCTTAATTTGGAGATTTGCCAATGACTTCGGTCCAATAATATTTTGCTTCACTAGGATCTGCAGAATGGAATGTGTGGCCTAAAATCAGGCTCACTTTTTTTTGTTGCATATTTTGCATCCTGTTTTTAGCAATAATTCATCGTCATTGCCATTTTATATGCAGCATGTTACTATGGCTTGCTTTGTGTAAATAACTAATTCACATTACTAATGGAGGATGCAGCATGTGTTACATGACCACAAAATCAAGTAAACGAAAGATCAGGACTTAGGTTAGGTTCTCGCGTGTCATTTTGCATGGAAGGAATTGACGGCTGGTTTCTCCTTTCAGGTTTAATCGCAGAGAGGTCAGAACAAATCTCAAAGATGGGAATGCTGGCAAATGTAAATTCAGTTCTGACATTGAATTAGCAAAATTTATGTTCAGGATGCATGACTTTTTTTATCATGAACTTGTGGTTTGGTTTAGCCTCAGATTCCCAGGTTCCATCACCTGGATTGGCTCTATGAAGCCTGGATTGAACACTCAAACTGACAAATATGTGTCATGTTCAAGCAATGTCATGTGCCAATGGCATTGCAGTGAAGGAAAACTCCATTTGCGGAGTGCCAGAACGATTTCGTGTGAGTAGTTGCGGCACCATCTCTTCATGGTTGTATGCAGGGACCCTGATTTCAATGCCTTCGGTCTCAAGGTTCAAATATGGTGTCACTGTTGGTTTGTGCATATTTTTTTTGAGTTCATACCAAACATTGCTAACCGTTTTTTTTTCAGAAACCAATGGCCCAACGAATTGCTAATGTTGATGCTGAGTTTTCTATATACTCCGACTTCATATGATTAGGCCCTTTCACTTCTCAAGTTCGTGCTATGAGTTTTAGTATTTTTGTGTGTCAAGGTTGTGATATAGTCCCAACTGCATACGGTCCTAATAAATTGGCGGATCAACCAAGCGAATGAAACATCAAAGCAAAAAATAAAAAATAAAAATACTTAGGTGTGCATGAGGATTATATTGAAAAGTTGGTTTCCAAGCATAGGTCCATAATCCTATCACCATGTCTAAACTGATTTACATGACAATACCGGTACAATGTCTCATATTAAGGTACATGAATTATATGCCAAACTTACTGCAGCTTAGCTTCATCATGTCACCATGTTCATTTCAGTACTCGCCGGTAATCTCATATTTTTAATATTGATCTATCATTACCTACTGAGAAATGCTATGTGCCATTATTTGTTGATAATGCAGTACGTTGTTTACTTGCTATTAATATTTTCAGGATTTATCTGTATCCAACTATCTAACAGTGAATGATATAAATTCTTATAGCCTTACAGGGTTTTCAGATGAATCATCTTTTGCAGACTATAGCAAATACCCATGAGGCTACGGCGGTCGTGTTGTCACCAGGTACTCAGTTGAGCAGCACTTAGAAGTGATGAAGATCACTACTTTTCATCTTTGTCCTACGAGCATGTGTACTGCTTTTATTTTCCCTTCCCATTTTAGCTTTAGTCAGTGCTTACATGGAGGCTTGCCGTTGTTCAGTGTCCATAGCTAACAGACCTAGAGATTGCTGAATTCTATATATCATGATACTCCTGTTAGCGAGTAAAAACAATATTCAAAGGAACTGCTCATAGAGCAGGTGGTTAAGCCCCAAGGGTGGAAGTTGCCCCACCGGGGATCGATCCCAGATTCCTACAATGGTTTCCAAAGAAGGCCGGGTCAAGTGTCCCTTTCAAAAATAAAAGTAAAAACAATATATCTAATCAAGTTTGGTGATTTAACATTGATTCAAAAATCAATGGATATATGTTTGGTGCTACTTCTTCAACATTTTCTGCAATGAACAGGTTAATGATCGATCTTACAGCTGGGAGGTATACATTTTGCATACTGATCAAACTGCAGTACAATTTTTTTTAAAAAAAACTCATAGAATCTTAATTAAGTTAGATGAGTAGAAAGCGGAAAGCGAATTGAAAGCAAATTTAACTGGAACAGTTTTCTTCTTTTGTAATTTTGGCTCTTATACAGTTTCATTGTCCACAATATGCCAAGATAACTCTCCTCCTTTGGATGATAAATTGATTTCTTCGTCTTTGCTGAAAAGTGTCATGTGAAGTTTGAACATGAATCCATTCACCTACTACCCATCATAAGGGGAAATAATTAACTACTCACAAAGTTCTCTTGAGATACTTTTTGTTTGGGCAGTATGAGCTTCCATCTAAAATATGCTCGGTACACAATAAGCAGATACTTTTTTTTTGAACGAAAACAATAAGAAGATACTTGATCTCCTCCATTAGGTGGTAGATTAATTTATTCTTATTTCCTAAGATGTTCCATGTATTAGTTTGATCAATCCTATTGATGATGAGAATTCCTCTGCTCTTGTCATCAACCCTATACATACTGAAATCATTGCCAACGAGCTTCAGCTGTTCATCTGAACTTTGAATGACCAAGAATGTTTGGTTGTTTCAAAATCCTGTTCTCAGGTGTACCTTAATATGCTGATGGAAATAGAGTATTGTGGAGAGAACACTGGAAGAGCAAAAGGAGAATGCAATAGGCCATAGTTGTTACTTTTCAATACCTGTTTGGAATGTTCTTGTGTCACAACAAAATGATTACCTCTCTTTCCATAATGTTTATAGTTATTTCCTCCTTCTCTAAAAGCGTGTACATTTGTGTGGCAATGTCTGACTTAACAAATGAGTTGATATAAAACAGCACTTCACTCTGTTGTTTATATTTAAGTTAATGAACAGCTTCGCTCTGCTGAACACTTTGCCACCGTATACTTGCCTCAAATCCTCATATGCGTTCGAGAATCCGGGCGCGGCGAAGCGCGCCTACTGAACTAGTATATCAAAGACCCCTCGTTCTGACGCGTGCGCGCTAGGCATCCTCGGTCAACGAGTAAGTCAACGTTAGTAAGCAGTGCGGACCCCACACGTCAGCTGAGGGACAGCCCGTCGGCTGCGGACATCTCCGGCCACGAGCGTCGCACCACGCCCGAGCCGGGCGGCCGGGACGGCGCCCCCAAGGGCCGGGCCGCAGCCACGAGCCCGCGCTCTTCTCCGTGCTCGTGCGCATCCGCAGCCGCCGCTCACCTTTCTGGGTACAGACTACAGAGGAATGAATGCTGCGGACATCTTTGTCCCCGTCTCCGGCGGCGTCCGTTGAGCTCGGCGGCGCGGGAGGACGTCGAGCACTTGCTCTGGGCCACCTCCTGCATGCATCCCCATCCCCATCCGAGTAAGCTAGTTTTTTTTTCCCCTTCTCGTGCAAAGGCTGCGCGGCTTCGTGTGGTACTGTGGCTGGGGCCAACAAGTGAGATTGTACAGTAGGATCTTGTTTATTCATTTCTTTTTTTTTCAAGAAACAGGAGGGGTAATGACCCCTACTTGATAACTTGTTTATTCATCTGGCTGTCCTGGTATTTTGCATCTGTACAATTCTTTTTTCTTCATGTCTCAGTGCAAGTGAGGAACTTGTACTCTGCAATCTTTTTCTTTGAGTAAGGATAAAGGAAGGAAGTACTCCTGGGATTTAGTTCTCCCAGCAATTTTGTTCCTTTAATGACCGAAAATGATGCTAGTTTTGATTAGACCAGTGTTGCTTCACTGCATTGTTCAGTAGGATTAGTTGAAGCAAGGACTTGCCAAATTTTGTTTGATAATATAATATAACTAATGCGGCCTTCTGTGAATCAGATTGGAAGTTAGTTGCGATATTATTAAGAAACAGAGGTGATTGGGATTGCGCTGAGAAACAGGGGGTGGAATCTGGATACTGGGTGCTATTTGTGACAATAGGGTGGGGGTCTGCCGGGTAAGTTGGATTATCCATCCTTTGCCGGACAGGAAAAGGTCTATCATGACGACACATTGAACCATATGCTTCATCAGAAAGACAAAAAAGATGAGTTTCAGATTTCATCAAGGTATTGAAGCATTGTTGGGACATCAAGTCTATGTTGAGTTCTTTTAACCAAGATGGTTATAGCATGGACCAAAATAGGAAGTAAAATGAATGGCATGGGGTCTCCTTACCCAAGCCACAGCAAATTTGTAAATAAAACACTGTGTTGCTTTTCTTTCCTTTGTTCCAGTTCATGGACTCTTTTGTAAGAGTGTCAGTGTGTCACACTGTCAGTGCCTTTTATAAAAGGCAGTCTGAATGGCGTCGAAGCTTTGTAAAAAGTCTCTCATTCCTAATCACAAAAAACTTTCATGTCGTTAACCTGATAGCTGCAGACTGTTGACTGTGGGGGAGATGAGGAAAGCTTACAGGGGAAGTAAATGGTAGGTAGCCTGAAAATATCAATCGGTGCATCATTCTGACCTTTAGAAAACTCCATTGCTAGCTCCTCATCCTCTTCTCGCTTCACCTGCTGCCCTCTCCTCCCTCAATTGTTGCAGCTGCCATGGGAATACCTTCTTTCTACAAGTGGGTAGTCAACAAGTACCCAAGCGTCACCTCCCCTGCGAAGGAGGAACCAGAGGAGTGCCCTGATGGCATCTACGACAACCTCTACGTCGACATGAATTACATCATCCATTGTTGCTTCCACCCACAGGACCTGATGCATGCAGACATAGATGTATCTACACATCTCAATCCATGTGAATCTGGCCGGTATTAATGTGTGTGTTCACACACCACTGCAGGTGTGCCCTCCGATGACGGTCAGCGAGGTGTTCGAGTCCATGTTTGAGTACATGGACCGCTTGTTCCGCATCGTCAGGCCAACAAGGCTCCTCTACTTGGCAGTAGGTTTGTGCATAGATCGTTAGATATCAAATCAAATTGAATTCTTTAGGCGCCTCCTCTTACCGCAGTGTGCATTAACAACAAGCAAGAGTACTTTCAAGTGTTAAGGATGATGTTGGTTACTTCAATTATTTGAGCAATTTAGTTATACATGCACTTTCTGATTTGTTTCATGTGCAGATGGCGTTGCTCCTTGCGCCAAAATGAACCGTGTGCGAAGGGGACGTTTTCACTCTGCCAGGCTGGCAAGAAGTGAGGTCAATGCTTGCATATAATTTTCTACATTGACAGTGTGATACATGCATGATGTCTGCTAGCTGCTGAAACAATCGAGAAATGCGTCCATGCTTCGATTTGCAGGAGATTGAAGATTATGAAATGCGGAAGGAATTAAGAGCTCAAGGGAAGGAGGAGCCACCGCGAGAGATTTCTGAGGTTTCTGACCCCAATGTCATCGCCCCAGGTACCGAATTCATGGAGAAGCTATCACAAGCCCTTGAGTACTACATCCGTGCCAGACTTAATAGTGACCCCTGGTGGAGAGACATCATGGTTTGCTCTTGTGCTTTAATAAATTCAATTTATGTTCTTTTTTTTCTCTTCTTGAAGGAAAGTTCATGTTCATTTCAACTTCAACCATTTGACATGCATGCTGAAAGTATTGACAAACATTTACTTGCTATTCAACTTGACCAAGTGGATGTTGCTGATAAATTTAATACATCTGTTCTGAAGGTAATACTCTCTGATGCGAATGTTCCTGGAGAAGGAGAGCACAAGATCATGTCTTTCGTCCGTGCACAACGCAGCATGGAAGGCTATGATCCCAACACTCGACACTGCTTATTTGGGCATGTAGGGAATATATATATCAATCGTTTTTCTTGATGATCTCATCATTTCTAATGTTGTGTATCACTGATCCAGTTTGCATCCTGTCTAGCTGTTTGTACTGGGGGTTAACTGTGAAGAATCATTGCAGGATGCAGATCTGATAATGCTTGCTTTGGCATCTCACGAAGTCCACTTCTCTATTTTGCGTGAGGTCTGTTAATCCCTCATCAATGCTAATTTCATGCTTAAACATATTGCATCACATGCTTAATAAAGCACATATATGTAATATATAGAAGGCAAATTTAAGTTTTTTTTTTAGCAATCGTGTCTCGCACGTATTTCATTAAGAGGAAGGAGTTTGAGTTTACAAGAGAAAATGCCACGGCTTGCCCAAACAAGTTATTATACTATTTACTAGGCTAGGATCTGTGTAAAGTTTTAACTGTCAAAGTAACTAGTCCAGCACTTTATAATGGTATGCACTACTCTTCTGTTTAACTTCAACAGGATGTGCTCCTCCCAAATCAGGCAGAAACAGAAGGGAATCCGAAGAAACCATTTCTGGTCCTCCTCACCTCCCAGCCCCAGATAATGCCACTCATTTACTCATTTTGATACACGAATAACACCGTCTTCTTTCAGTTTTTGAACATATGGGTTCTGAGAGAGTACTTGGAGATTGAATTCAAGATACTGGACCCAGTCTGCGAGCCTGATATTGAGAGGCTAATAGATGACTTCATCTTTATTTGTTTCCTGATGGGAAACGATTTCATCCCACATATTCCATCACTTGAGACGCATGAGGTATCTGTGGCATGTAACCTTTAGATTATGGTAATAGCTTATCAGAAAGTTAACTTTGTTATCACTATATATGTCCTTTCACTCTGTTCTTTACCCTGAAAAAAAAAATATAGATGTTTCTCTCATCTTTTCCATCTAACAGGGTGCAGTTGATCTTCTCATCGAAGTGTACAAAACAACCTTCAACAAAATGGGAGGGTATATTATCAACACAGACAAAGTACCTGAAGAATTCCAGCTCCAGCCTCTTATTTCATCAATGATTATCCATTGAATATGCGGTGACCTAGGTTCGTTGATACTGAAAACAGGTCAAAGATAAAAATGGTGCATATCTGGAAGTCTCAAGGTTGGAAATATTTTTTCATGAACTCTCCATGTATGAAGAGAAAATTTTCCTCAAAAGATATGAACTGGAACAGGTATGTTGACGCTCTAGTCAATAGTGTATTGTGGTGCAAGGTGGAATTTATTGTCATTCTTGATATGTTCGTTTTGGCCTTTAGGATTTGTTGCTGAAGACATATCACGAAATGTTGCGTGAAGCTTCAGAAAGTGAAAGACCAGAACTGAGACAAAAATTAGATGATCTCCTTTTTAATGAAGAACGCCCGTATGACAGTGTTAGTGATGCCCTTTTGGATAAATATTTCTCCTGTGACCTGTAGTCCTGCTACAATTTTTAAATGTCTATTGCAGATAAGACTAGGATTACCAGGATGGAAGTCCCGGTTCTTCAGGGAGTATTTCGGTGCCAAAACTTCTAATGAAATTGGAAAGCTGCAGAACGACATGGTTATGTTTTTCCTTGTTTATTTATTTGTCCTAATGGAATCCCTTTTCCTAGGCAAGCTGGCATTTTATATTTGTTATAATCTGCCCTCCTTTCTTCCCCTCTCCTCCCTTTGAATTCAGGCTCAAAAGTATTTAGAAGGACTTTGTTGGGTGCTTCAATGCTATTCTGCAGACGTTCCATCATGGAGCTGGTAAAATAAAATCTTCAAATATACTGAACAATAGCTTATTAGCTTATTTCATTGTTATGGATTCTATCTACCTCATTCTCATGCACAAATGTTTCCGTTTTTTGCTTTTTTAAACAAATGCTTCCATTCTACCACGTCTTATCTTACAACCTTTTGCAGGTACTACCCATTCTATGTTGCTCCTTTCGTATCTGATCTCAAAGGTCTATCTAGGGTCGAGATATCTTTCATATTGGACAAACCATTACGACCATTTGATCAGCTTATGGCCGTTTTACCAATGCGAAGGCACATTCATTGTCCTTACTGCTGCCATGCATGTTACTTATTAGGATTTTATGATGTAAGAGTCGATAATTTCAACGCCCCCCCCCCCCTCTCTCTCGCAGCTGGTGTGCTCTCCCAAAATGCTACAAGGAAATAATGGGCCGCGAAGAATTTGACTACCCGAGGTTGGAGCATGACACCAATGGGAAACATTTCTTGTGGAATGTGAGCTACTATTTCATATGTGCAATAATGGATCGATGAACTGAATCAACTAATTCTTTCAAGCTATAGTGATCAAGTAGCGATGCACTAGGGCAATCAGCCATGCTGATTTTCAAATTGTTTCAGGGTATCTCTGAGGAACTGCTGCCTTCGGTCACCAAAGCGGTAGATAAAGAGCTCACGGTAAAACAACCGCTTGTCATCTGTGCTCATGTTACACTAAATTTTACTGCTGTTGCATAAATCATACATAGTCATATTTAGTTTTCCCGTTGGCTTGTTACTGAATTAGACCCATGAATCGAGACGGAATACCGCTAGGCAAGAGAAGATCTTTCTGCACAGGGACTCGAGCTCTTTGCCACACAATGAAGTTACTGAACAAACATCGCACTGTTCAGTGCAGAAGCTTCTGATAGATTCAGCTACGAGGTGCACAAAGTCTGAATTGAGATGATGTAAATTAGTACCAGCTCATTTTTAAGTTGACATTTTGATTTTGTTCAGTTCAGTGGTCTCAATTTGTTTTAAAAAAAATTGCACAGTGGAATTGGAGGATGGATAGTGCCTGCTGACAATGATGGCCTCAGCGACGGTTTCTTCCACTCGCCCACTACAAACCTGCAGGACATTACGAGTGATCAGACAATGTACGTTTCCTTTCTAGCCTTACTGTCTTGAGGCGACAACATGGAATATCAGTTACGTTTTGGGTGTTCATGTCTCAGATCAGGTACGTTCTTCAACCCTGAGGCAGCGAATCCAGTTCCAAGACTACTTGTCAATGTCAGAGTACCTGACAAGGTGCATTCATGAACACTACAGTACATATTAAGTTGCTTATTATTCCAATCTACATTGGAGCTGTTTTCGTCAAACAATCGATCATGGTCTTTGGAACTCACGAACTATCAATTATGCAGACTGTTACCGGAGCCGACATCTCGAAGCGGCCACTCTGGCACACGTACCTGGGCTCAAGGCCGCCGCGCATGTAAACTCAAAATCTTATTAACTGTGATGGATCGATTCATTCATCTTCTGTATATATTGCCTGAGCCTGACCACTTGTCGTTCTACTTGCAGCATTCAGAGGCCGGAGACCCTCTGGAAGCCGAGCACGCCGGCGTCGCCGCGGGAAGAGCACAAGAACGCCGGCACAGGGTGGATCGGGCGGGGGAGAGGGGCGAACGCCCTTGCCGCCGCCCAGACGCAGCTAACAAGGAGTAGCAGCTACAGCTACAGGAGAGGGGGTGGTTTCCATCGGGCGGGCATGGCGCAAAGCCGAGGAAGCAGTAGCAGCAGGTTCGACGACGACGACGGTGCGTACAGTTTCCGGCCGCTTGGAAGTGCGCCGTGGACCGCCACCAGAGATAGCGGCCGAAGCAGAGGCGCCGGCCATGGCGGGATTGCGCAGCCACGTGGTTGGTAGGAAACTAGCTCCAGGAATCAAAGATGCTTGGTGATCTCATCTCACCGTATACATTTTGTGCCGACTGGATATACATCTACGTTTCTTCTTCTTTTTTAACGCAATGGCAGGAGCTCTGTCTTTCAATTAAGCTGGGGAAAAGAGAGTTTATGTACAAAGGCAGTTGAGGTTAGGGATACAAACCTCCCACAAGCATGCAAATTAGGGAAACACACGACCCCGATACAAACCCCTCACAGGCATGCAAATTAGGGAAACGCACGACCCACAAGGTGAGGGGGCATCGGCTACACATAATCGAGTGCTCTCCTTCTTTGCTCTATATCTTCCTTTATCTTTGCGGCCACCTGCGGCACCGTCTGTATCTTGTTGTCAAAGATTCTTCTATTTCCTTCTTTCCAAATGTTCCAAAAGGTGTAGATTACTACCCGTTAAGCAGCCTACGCTCGGATCTTGGCACTTTCGCCGCCACTTCTTCCCACCATGATCTGATATCGGTGGGTTGCACCTGGGGTTGCTGCTGGATCTGAGTGAAGTTCTCTCACGAGAGGATTTGATTCCAAATCGCCTTTGTGAAGGGGCAACATAGGCCTAGGTGGAGGCCGATCTCTAAAGGACCATTGCAGAGCACGCATTGTTGATGGTGTGGCCACCCTCTCCTCTGTAGGTTTTGTGCCGTTAGAATTTTATCTTGCACTAAGATCCAGGCAAATATCTTGCATCTGTTCTCCACTTGCGCTTTCCAGATCAACTCCGTACTGAATGGGACGAGCGAGCCTCTGAACTGTATTCTATAGGCCGAGCGGGTGGAGTATTTCCCATCACCGGTCCACCGCCAGCTGATGGTGTCCTGGACGCCCTGCTGTAGGTGCACATCTTGTATCCGTATCCAAAGGGACACAAACTCCTCTATGTGGACAGCCGAGGTGATTTTCCTTTGTAGCTTGCGTATCCAATTGTTGTTCCGGAGCTCTTGTTTCACCGTTCGGTTTCTCCTTGAAACCAGGCAAAACAAGTTTGGTGCTAAGTACCTAGGCGCATGTCCGTCGAGCCAATTGTGGTGCCAAAACCTAGTCTTAGCACCGTCCGCCAAAGTTATAATGATTGAGGAGTTGAAGAGGAGACGATCATCATCAGAACATGGAAGCTCGGAGCCGTGCCAAGGCTTGGAGTCGTCCACCCATTCCTGCCAAAGCCAACGTAACCGGAGGGCTCTCCCAAATCTATCAAGATCGGGGACGCCTAAACCACCCAGATTTTTTGGCCTGGTAACTGTTGGCCAGTTAATAAGGCAGTGTCCGCCATTGGCGTTCTCCTCTCCCTTCCACAGGAACGATCTCCTGATTTTGTCAATCTTTTTCTTAGCCCATGCCACTAGAGGAAACACCGTCAGGTGGTAGGTTGGCATGGAGGAGAGGACAGATGTTACTAGAGTGAGGCGTCCCGCTCTGTTGAGCCATCTTCCTTTCCATTTGGGTAACCTCTGCCCGATACGGTCTATGAGAGGTTGCACGTGTATCTTTTGCAGTGCTCTGATGTGGAGTTGCAGGCCCAAGTACTTGCAAGGGAAGGTCCCTCTAGAACCGGTGAAGGGTGAGAGGACTTGGTCTAGATCAACGTTTGCGCAGCTGATTGGGTGCACCGAGCTCTTTTGTAGGTTGATATGGAGTCCCGAGAATGAGCCAAAAGCGTGTAGGATGGATTTGATGGCCTCAACATCGTCTTTTGTGGGGCTGATGAAAATGGCAGCATCATCCGCATACATGGAGGTTCTCCATTTTGCCGCCGTGATTGGTAAGGGGGTGAGTATCCCATGGTCGGTTGCCCGGTCAAGCAAACGTTGAAGCGGGTCCATAGCAAGGATGAATAGCATGGGTGAGAGTGGATCTCCTTGGCGGACGCCTCTGGCCTGGCTAAAAGCGGCACCCTGTCGCCCATTAAGCAAGGGTGTGGAAGTGGATGTACGCAGGAGGATGGAGATCCATTCGCGCCATCGCTGTCCGAAGCTCAGGGCTTGCAGAATCTCGAGCAGGTAGCCCCAATGAACCGTATCGAAAGCCTTGTGGATATCTAGTTTTATGAATAAAGCCGGTATCTTTTGCTTATGCAACCTTTGTACTGCGCCCTGGACATAAAGGAAGTTATCATGGATGCTTCTCTTCTTTATGAATGCGCTCTGGCAGTTGGAGACAAGGCAGTTTAGTCGAGGGGCAAGTCTGTTAGCTAACACCTTAGAGAATATCTTTGCGATGCTATGGACGAGGCTGATGGGTCTAAAATCAGTAACTCTTGTTGCATCTGTTTTTTTGGGTAGGAGGATGATGCAAGCCGAATTTAGCCATTCGAAGCCCTGGGCATTCAAGTTGAATAGGCTGTTCATGGCCGCCATTACATCATCCTTAATGATTTCCCAACACGCTTTGAAGAAGGCCCCCGTGAAGCCATCCAGTCTTGATGCTTTGTCAGAAGGCATGGAATATATAGTGTTTTTTATCTCTTCCTGGGAGAAAGGCAACTCAAGGTCTGAGAGATCGTGTTGGTTGTAGCCAAGGGATTGCCAATTTAGTGTGGAAACTCTCGGCATTGAGGAGCCAATGTGATTTTTGAAGTAATCACGAATCACCTTTTCTTTCTCTTGATGGGCCACCGTGATCCCCCCATCCGTATGTAGACAATGTATGTAATTCTTTCTCCGGCGTGCGTTTGCTCGACTGTGGAAGAACTTTGTGTTAGCATCACCACAGCGAATGTAAGTTAGTCTCGATCTCTGTCTGATTCTTGATTTTTCGATGGCCGCGAGTCCAGTGCTACAGGCTTTGAGGCGGCGACATAGGTGAAGTTCCATGACAGTGAGCAACCTATGCTCTTGGGCTGCTTCAAATTGTAGTAGCACTTCTTTTACAATGGCGAGCTGCATCCTTGTATCCCCTATCTTCTCTTTCTTCCAACGCTTGATACCTTTTGCCACACGTGCCATTTTGATATGCAAGCGTTTGATCGGAAGAGCGGTGGTGACCGGTCTATTCCAAATGTTCTGGACAAGATCTTGGAAGCCATTCATCTTAGTCCAGTAATTTTCAAAGCGGAAGGAAGTGCTGTGATTGTGGTCAAGTTCTCCCTGGAGTAGCAGCGGGGTATGGTCCGACATGAGTGATGGAAGGGAGTGTAAGAAACACGATGGGAAGGACAACTCCCACTCGGGGGTACATAGTAGTCTGTCAATTCTAGTTAGCGTCGGGTTTTGCTGTTGATTGCTCTAGGTAAAGCGACGTCCATTTAGCTTGATTTCTTTGAGCCTCAAATGATCGATCGTCGCTCTAAATGCCCCCATGAGACGGCGGTTGAGATTGGCATTGTTCTTATCTTCCGCCTGGTAGATGAGGTTGAAATCTCCCAGGATGAGCCATCTATCATTCTCCGACGATGGAATGTTTTTCAGTTCTTGGAGGAATTGAAGTTTGGCCTCCTCCCCTTGCGGTCCATATACCACCGTAATTTGCCACCTTGTTCCATCTGCCCTCATGTTGATCTACGCGGTTATAGTGTTCGCGGTAAGTACAATGTCGGAGAGGTCAAAGAAGTCCTCGTTGACCGCAAGGAAGATGCCTCCACATGTCTGTTCCGCCGGGAGCACAACATAGGAGTTTTCAAATTTTGCTCCGACTGTTCGGCGCACCATATTACGGTCCATAACTTGCATATTTGTTTCTTGTAGACATACAATGGTGGCGCCGGTGGTTCTCACTAGCTCACTGACCGAGTCCTGTCGGGCGCCATCATTTAGACCCCTAACGTTCCAGTTAAGTAACTGACAATTCATCTGTGCCATATCTCAACCAATGGGCCCCTATTTAAAATAATTCTTTGGAAGGAGACAAGTAGGAAGTCATCTGTTGGTTCAGTAGAGGCGACAAGCACAAAGGTAAGCACACAGAGGCATATGCACCGAGATAGGCATATAGAGGTTATGAAAGCATGAACATGGAGTGGCCGATTCAAATGAAAGCCGTTGGCTGTCGGCACAATGATACAAAGCACACGCTTCTTGCTCGCTGAGTTCTTGCTACAGCTACCTACCAGTTGACAGTACATTACAGTGATGTGGGTGGGCGACTGTAGGCCTCTGGCTGTCGCCGAACCCGAACACCATGACTGGACGGTCACAAAAGATGTGGAGCTCCAAGAGCTTCCGCAGTGGCAAACGATCACTAACATTATTACATCGCTGTACCCAATTGCGACAGCAGGCATCTAGGCGTGCGGCAGCGCCATCTCAGCGTCGAGGCCACACAAAGCCGTCATCGCCTTCACGGCGTCGTCGTTCAGCGGTCCCTTGAACAAGCTGAAATAGCGCAGCAACGCGTCGTCATGGGTGAGTCCTTCCATGTCGAGGATGCCCAGTCTTTTCATCAGCACTAGCCTGGACTTCGCTTGGGTGTCGCCCCTTGGCCAATTCATGGCAGCTATGCGGACGCTCCTTCGCGCCGGGACCAGGGGCCTCTTGCGTCGCTGTGGTGTGTTGTGCTGGCGTGCCGGGACCTGCAAGATGGGTGGAGGCAGGGGCTGTGAAATCCCCTGCAGGAATTCAGATACCGGTGCAGCATTGGCAGGCGTTGTTTGGCCGATATTGTTTACCTCCTCGGCGTTGGCGTTTTGTTCCGGCAGCAGTTGCTGGAGGCCATTTTCCATGCGTGTGCGGCTGGAGCAGGTGCGCGCCATCCCGTGGACACGGAGCCTGGAGTAGATGATGCCAGGGCAGAAATGCACCACCAGGGCGTTTCTGGCCGGCTGTGCGTGGGCGCGGTGCGTGCGAAGAGCACCTGGCCGCCTAGCATAGACCTAGCCCATGCGAAAGCATCGATCAGCTGCGAGGCACGCTCGCTACTGAGTCACGACATCATGGTCGTCGATGGGGGGAGCCTACAGTTCATTCAGACAAGACGGGGATACATTTCCGGTCAGGTGCACCGAAGGGGGGCAGCTCGGTGGTGCGTCCGTGC